TGAGGAAGGGGTGGGAATAGGCGGGGCGGGGTGGGGCCTCATGGAAGGGGTGAAGTGGGGGCGGGGGTGGGGGGGCTTTAACTGAAATAATTCTAAAAGTAAATGCGTGTTTTGTTATTTGAGTGAGATGCATTACTGAGTGTTTATATTTTATTAAAACCCCTCTTTGCATTACAGTTTTAAAAAAGTTAATACATTGGCTTTTAATAGCATACTATATTACTCTTCATTTTTTTCCCATTTTTGACTATATTTTTGTATCGTTGTATGAAAAGGTTTCAGTGATGCAGCCCTTGGGCCAATGCACTAGTCCTCATGTGGCCCTTGTGGTGATTTGAGTTTGAGATCCCTGTTATATTTTCTACTCCCTGACTGGATGATGAAACTTTTCAACAGGAGAGTGACAAATAGCAAACAGCAAACATCAGATGTAACTACAAAGCATTTTTGTGACTGTGAAGCAGCCATATGCATATTTGCAAATAACGTCTTATGATCCTCTAGGGCCTTTATTCAGCAAAGCACTTTGCCGTATGTATAAGTCTATTCCTATTAGCGAAACACTTAAGTTCTTAGGTTCCATTAAAGTTAAAGGGACATAAGCACATGCTTAAGTGCTTTGCTATATTGGAGTCTAACAGCAGTGAATCAAATTGAAGTAGTTTTTTCACCAATCTGCTTTTCCTTTATTTTACCTGCTCCTCTCCTAATGTTGTAAATCATGCAGATGTTTTTAAAACCACCATATTCTTTCCCTCACTGTGTTTGCTAAGACACAGAAAGCAAAGCATCTTAGGACCGGTGGTCACATCAGATCCCAGTTTCCCTTTTGTGCTAAAGAAGGGGCTGGTTTTCATTTTAGAAATCCAGCCTAGAGGAATTTTTACCACTACCACCCCCCCACACACACCTTTCAAATGACATTGGGAAGACATTTGTGAAATGGGCTCTTGGTCTGAGTGTAAATTGTATTGATTTTATTGTCCATTTTATAAACTTGTGGGCCCAATTTTCATAATCAGCCATACACATTGTATGCACAGGCACCAAACATATGTATACTTTGAGTACACACACCAGCTGAATATTAGTGAGTACACATGGCATATTTTTAATAATTTTCGCTTCTTACTCTCAGTACTTGGAAGTTTAAATGACTATTGTGTCACTACCAAAAGAATTATTTCACTCCATTACATACCCATTTCAGTTTGTTATTGTATTTTATTGTTCTGGAGTAGACTGTCCAGATTGGTTTAATATTCTAGAGTATGTCCTGGGTGCTGGACTGCACACTCTGGTTTGTTATTGAAGGGTTATTTGACTGGTTTTGTTTTCTTCTGCTTTATTTCATTCCTAACAAATTGAGTTCCAAAATGAATGTAGGTGGTGGAAGTGGAGTGTCCGTTTACATAAATACTGTACGGCTCTTGAGTAATTAACAGCAATGTCATTACAGTTTTAATACACCTCTACCCCGATATAACGCAGTCCTCGGGAGCCAAAAAATCTTACTGTGTTATAGGTGAAACCGCGTTATATCGAACTTGCTTTGATCCACCGGAGCGTGCAGCCCCGCCCCCCCCGGAGCGCTGCTTTACCGCGTTATATCCGAATTCGTGTTATATCGGGCCGCGTTGTATCGGGGTAGAGGTGTATTCTAATTTCATTGACTGTTGTTTGTGTGTGTGTCACATTGTGCTTTTTCTCTTGTAGCCTCTCTTATTTTTTTCTGGCGCACAGCCAAGTGTGTACACCCTCTCATGTACACACACAGTATAAAGAAAACACCACATGAAAGCAGAATATAGAAGCCATTTGGTTTCTTACCATGTTATTTCATCTTGTTTCGAGAAATAAACCATGGCTTGTTCTTGGGGTGGAGGGGTGGCAGTGTGGGCGTTAATCAACAATTGGCTAAATTTGACAGGGTCTAGATAGTTCTGAAACTGAAGCAGTGGCTGAGAGGGGAATGGCATCAGTAAATATGCCCAACTGCTTTTTTCAGGCCTTCCCTCTTTCCTTTATTTTTTCCCTCTCTCTGTGCACACTCCAAATGGGTAAAATTCACCCAGTGTAGACATCCAGCACTAGATCTGTGTCCTGGGCAGGTGGCCCTGATAACCAGCCCAGTTCTTTTTCCGTACCAGTTTGCCATAAACTGGTCATGATGTTATGAGGCTGTATTGCATCATTGTTTCTTCAAACCCTAATGCCACATCACCCCCAATTTTTCTTTCCTAGAACAAGCAGAGCAGTGAGTCAGCCGTGAGCAGCACAGTCAATCCAGTAATTCACAAGCGCAGCAAAGTCAAGACTGAAGTTGAGGGTATGCCACCAGCCTCCCCAGCCACACAGGTAACCCTCTTGGTACATATTGTCTTGTCAGCCTGATGCAGTGCGCTGATGGGTCTGCATTGTCTTTGGGAACAATATTCACTTCATGTTTCTCTGCAATTTGTAATGAGGCATCAAAGTTTGCAAGGCAACTGAGCTGATCTCAAATAAAGAGCCCCAACAAGGTACAGGAGCAGGGTTTCTGTGATTGATTGAGGGAAGCATTATATGGGTTTGTGGGAGTTGGATTCCTGGTGCAATTGCCCAGAAAGAAAGAGAGAAGGATGGACTATTTGAGTCCTGGTAACTTATAAAAATTATGCTTGACCCTTCTACAGTGCAAAGCAAGCAATATTGATGCCTCAAAGCAAACATAGATTACGAGGAAGTCTTGCATGTAGGTAGAAAACTCTCAGAAAGGGCTTCTTCTCTCCTGAGTATAGAATTGCTCATAGCATCATTCTTTACATCACTGTCACAACATTTGACACTGAGAAGGGCCCACAGACCTTTGTTTTCTTTTCAGAGCTCTGCTATTGCAAACTGTTTAATGGCTGACAATATCCATCTGACTGTCCTTTATCACACCTGTAAACTATCAGGAGTGCTCTGGGCACTTCATTTTCATGAAATATTACGCTGTGTTATTGTCAAGCGAACAGAAGAGTTCATGACAAATTCCTCTTTCTGCACTGGTTCAGAAGCAGGTTTCAGCATGATGCATGGGGACAGCAACTTGTGCAATCATCTGGGGGCTGGTAAAATTGATGAAGATAGCATATCAGGGAAAGATAAACATGCTGTAGTCAGCACGATTAGGGCAAAGAGGCATCTCTCTTGAGCTTTGAGTTTAGGAGTGCAACAACACACAACAGCAGAAAGCACACGACCTAAAAAACCAATCTGGCCACCCCCCAGGCTAATAAGGCCGCATATTTATTTCTTGTAGTAAACGAAAAAGAGATCTGAAAGAAATTTCCTGCCTTCCCAAGCATATGTATCGGATGAGCCCTGGGAGAGACTACTGCACATTTACTGGCACCATCCTTCTTTAATTACATACAGATTTTGAGAGGTGCATGCCCAATACCAGTGATCACATTTACAGAATCAGGGGGAATACCAATGCAACTGTGTACGTTTATTTTTCTTATTATCTGACTCACAGTGTCTTGTGAATGAAGTAAGTACCCAAAAAAGAGAGGAATTATGTAGAGTGATACAAGGAGATTTAATTAGCAGTAATTAGATGAAATTAACAAAAAAAAATGTAGGCTAGGTATTTGGAAACCGTTCCTAATGAGGAGATCTGTGGCTCAGGCTCCCAAGAGAAGTGTAGGCTCCATGGCTTGAAGCATTTAAAAAATTGATTGGACAAAGTATTGGAAATACCCTGTAGGGGGCAATCTTGCCTTGGCAGAAGGAATAGACTTAGATGACTCAGTAGAAAAGGGACCTGTTTTTCAGCAGGTCTGAGCACTCACAACTAGAACTCCTGGAAGACTGGAACTTCCATCCTGAAGGCAATGCTGATATGTTGACATTGATTGTTAACCCAATCCAAATCAAAAATTGCATTGGGGGGGGGGGGGGGCAGAATGAAAAGTTCATAGATTCCAAGGCCAGAAGGGATCACTGTGATCATCTAGTCTGTTCTGCTTTATAACCCAGACCATAGAACTTCCTCCAAATAATTCCTAGAGCAGATCTTTTAGAAGAACATCCAGTTTTGATTTAAAAATTCCATGACGCCACCACAACCCATGGTTGTTTCAGTTGTTAATTACTCTCACCATTAAAAATATGTCTTATTTCCAGTGAGAATTTGTCTATCTTCAACTTCCAACCATTGGATCATGTTTTACCTTTCTCCACTACACTGAAGAGCCCTCTATTAAATATTTGTTCCCCATCTAGATACACACAGACTATAATCAAGTCACCCCTTAATCTTCTCTTTGTTAAGCTAAATAGATTGAGCTCGAGTCTATCCACTATATGTTGATTTGGAAATGTTGCATTTTGTTTCAATTCAACATTGGCCAGCGTCTACTTGAGCTGCTCTGGTGGGTGCCTCACGCCCCATCATCCCCACCATGGGCCAGACTCCCCATCATGCACGGCAATCCTAGCACTCCCATAATGTCCTAAGTGGTTCAACCACAGGGAAAGCAGCAGTGCAGTGTGGGAGATGTAGTCCAGTCAAGGAGCCCAGCTCATAGATGAGAATGGGGGCATGAGATGCCATGGCAGTTCAGTCAGTCACAGATTAATGTCTGACTGACCCAAAATGAAATGTTTAGATTCAGGTGGAGAAACTGAAATATTTTGATTTGAGTCGACCCAACCTGAACCGAAATAATTCATTTCCGTTTTCCTGATAGAAAATCAAAAAATTTCAGCAAAAACTGCATTTGTCAGAAACTGCATTTCCGACGGGGACTTGGGGCGAGGGGGGCGTACAGGGGACATTTAGACAGAAAATTCCTGACTAGCTCTACCCACAACTCCAGCTGAAGTTAATGGGAACTTTAGGTATTCAGCACCTCTGAAAGTCCTAAGACTTTTCCATCTCTGATTTTGTACAGGCCTCTGATAAAGATTCTACCTCCCTCTCAGAAATTGTTCTGTAACTTGCAGCAATTTTCTGTTATCAGAGCAGCCTTTTCCAAAGAACAATCAGGGGCTAATTAGAACAAATCTCTCCATGCGTGAGTTGTAAAAAATGTACATAAAAGTCACACCTGGCATGTGATATCATGACAGCTGCTTTAATAATAATACTTGATCTTTTATGTAGCACTTCTCACCTTCCAAGCTCTGTACAAGCATTAACTAGTTAGTCATCACAACACTCCAGTGGGGCTTGAGAAAAGGTTTGAAAGAGGAGAGGGTGGTGGCCTGATGGTCCCTTCAGGCGGGGTGTTCCATGCTGAAGGGATAAGGGGGAAGAAACTGCTATAGCAGCATGGGAACAATGGATAAAGAAGGGTTCAAAGATGGACTTGGTGGTGCAGCACAGGGGATGGAGGCAATGTGATACTGGTCAATAAGTGAGAAGTGGCAGAGACATGAGGAGCTTTAACAATGAGGACAAGAAGCTTGACATTAATATAACAGTGTAAGGTTGCAGCATATCCTCCCTTTTCAAATGAGTATGCATTGGTCTCCAGTAAAATCATGCTTTTTCCTTAGTATTGTTCAGTGAATAGGGCACTAGAGTGGGAATCAGAAGACCTGAGTGCTGTTCCCAACTCTGCCACTGAGCTGCTGGGTGACCTTGATCAAGTCACTTCACCTCTTTGCTCCCCTCCCACCTTTAGGGCTTGCCTACATGGGGAAAGTTACAATTATAATTTTACCACTGTAGTTATAGCATTATAACTCCACACATAACTACTCATTCTGGAATAACCGTAGTAGTATAATTATGCTGGTAAATTTCCCCATGTAGCTAAGTCCTTAGTCTGTCTTGTCTACTTAGATAGTAAACTCTCCAAGGCAAGGATAGTTTCTATATTTGTACAGCGCCTAACACAGTGGGGCCCTGATTTGAGTTGGTGCCCCTAGTTGCTACTGTAATTCTAATAATTGTAACAATCTTCCAGGCCTTGTTCCATCATATTGAACTGATCTTCTTTCAGGCTGGGATTTCCAAATGAGCATGAGGGAATTAGGCACCCAGCTCTCACTGAAATTGAGTGGGATATGGGCACCTAACTCCCTTAGGTCCAGTTAAAAATCCCAGCTTTCATGAATATCCCAGGCTGTTCTTTAAGATCTAAATGGGACAACGATTCAATTTGCCCTCCATTTAATCTTGCAACAGTGGGAGCTAGAGCTGTCTCTAATTACCGACCTCATCTGAGTAATACCCTTCTTCTAACCATTAGGAACTCCCAATTCGTCATCTTAGCATCTGCACAACCTGCCTCAGGTGGCACGTGACCAGGACTTTGGTCTGCTGGGTGGATTGTTAGCTTCCCTGGCCCAGGCCAAGTACTGATGGGGAGCACGACATGATCGCCGATCCATGCCCCCATCCCAGTTCATGTCTGCATATGGCAGCAGTCTGCGGAAGACATCTCTTTGTTGCCACATTCGCTGGTTTGAATGCTGCTTTAGCTGGGTTTTAGCACTGGTGTTGAGTTAAACTACATATTAGAATCTGTATCCGGCAAACACGTATTACAATGCCCAAAACCCAAAAAGCCAGCAGTTGCCCTTACTAAGAGGCTTCACTTTACACTAATCATTAGAACAAAAATAGTAAAATAGATGGTTTGTTTATTTCCAAATCTCAGTACTAAACACTTGTAAGTATGTAAGGCCGGGCAGTAAAAAGGCACACTGCCCCCTATGGTAATCTCCTTCCCCATGTAAACCTGTTGATGTGGGATCATAACAATCTAATTCATTATTGAGTAAACTCCATTCCTGTGCAAAGGCCAATGCCCTACTTGACATGCCTTTTAAATGTTACCCTGTTATGAAACTCTGGTACCAAAGAGCCCGCTACATTATAAGGCTGTTAAATCCCAATGTATCCTGATGGGAAGCTTGTCCTTTGCTAAACATCTAGGGCAAATTCCCAACATCCTTACTAAATTGTTAGGCCAAAGCCCGGTCGTTCTTTGCAGTAAGGACTTTGCAGCATTTGGCCTCTCCCTTTGATTTAACTCTATAATGCAAAGGGCCCAGTCCTGCCATTCTGTTGCCGGTTTGACTCTCCCTGAACGCCGGCGCATATGTGGGGAGCTGCAGGATTAAGCTTTTTGATGCCCATCAGCTTTCCCTTCCCTACTTACATTGTTGAATGTTTGTTCCTCCCTATTCAAACAGGGTCTGACTGTAGATTTGCTTCTTTGTCCCCTCCAATTAGTTTCGCAGCTCTTCACTCTTTCTATGCTAGAAAGTGCAGAGAAGTGTGAAAAGGACTTTTTTTTTTTTTTACCTGACCAGAAGTAATTAGAAGCCGCTGGCTTTGGTTTCAGTCTGAACCAGTTACATTCAACCCTTCTGTTTCTTCTTGTCTGTGACAACTTTCTGCAGGGCTGAGATCTGTGCAGCAGGCTCATTTCAGCTAGAGATGGGCCCCAGCCACGCAGCCTAAGGACTGGTGGGTTCGGTTTTAGGGGGTTGGGTCAGGTCAGGGATTGGCAACCTTTGGCACGCGGCTCACCAAGGTAAGCACTCTGGCGACCAGGCCGGTTTGTTTACTTGCCGCGTCCGCAGGTTCGGCAGATCGCGGCTCCCAGTGGCCACGGTTCGCCGCTCCAGGCCAATGGGGGCGGCAGGAAGTGGCGGCCAGCACATCCCTCGGCCCGCGCTGCCTCCTGCCCCCCCCCCATTGGCCTGGAGCGGCGAACCGCGGCCACTGGGAGCCACGATCGGCCAAACCTGCGGACCCGGCAGGTAAACAAACCGGCCCGGCCCACCAGGGGGCTTACCCTGGCGAGCCGCATGCTAAAGGTTGCCGATCCCTGGGTCAGATCCATGCTTGATTTAAACCACATACAAAAACTCTCCTTTGGGATAAAAAGCACCTGTAGCTTGGGGAGTTCGAGGCTCACACTTAACTTGCTCTGGCTGAATGCTCTAAGAATTATTTTGGGAACATTCTGTGGCCTGGGTTATACAGGAGGTCAGACTAGATGATCATGATGGTCCCTTCTGGCCTTGGATTCTGTGAATTTATGAAATTCCAAAGGATGAGGATCTTTGTGGCAAGTTTCGGTTGCACTCTTTGTCCCGGTGAACATGGTTTGCTGATGTTAAGTGCTGCAAAGATAAGACCAAATGAAACATGGCCTGCCTGTCTGCCTGACTTAGCATATATACACACATGCCCCATGCCCATACAGCCTGCTCCACCGAAGCCAATGAGAGGTAACTCCTGGTACTGTAGTTTCCTGTAGCACAGTGGTTCTCAAACTGTGGGTCAAGACCCCAAAGTGGGTCACAACCCCATTTTAATGGGGTTGCCAGGGCTGGCTTAGACCGAAGCCAAAGTCCAAGACCCACTGCGCAGGGCCGAAGCTAAAGCCCAAGAGCTTCAGCCCTACGCATTGGGGCTCGGGCTTTGGCCTCAGCCTTCCCACCCGGGACGGCAGAGCTCAGGCAGGCTGAAGCTTCGGCCCCCCTCCTGGGGTCATGTAGCCCTTTTTGTTGTCAGAATTGGGATGTGGTGCAATTTAGTTTGAGAACCTCTGCGTAGCATTATGTTCCCTGGTAAATAGTTGCTTCTGATTGTCACGTTCCAATGAAAACAGACTGCGTACCACCACTCTGTGTCGTGCTGGAAATGACTGCGATACACATGGCTGCTACAAGGCCTGTGCGCTAAATCATCATTACACCTTAATTATAATAATTTGCATTTACATAGTGCTGTAGATGTTCAAATCACTTTGCAAACTTTAACTATTCAATCCATGTAATACTGCAGAAAGATAGAAAATTTTATTTCCCTCATTTTCAGATGGGGAAACTGAGGCACCGAACGGTTTAAGCAACTTGACAAGAAGTCAGGATTAGAACTTGGAAGGTTTCTAACTGGAGGCTCAGTTGGCTGTATCATGCTAGTGGACTAAGCATGGAGTAGAAGCCAGACGTTCCTGAGTTCTACTCTGACATTGACTCAATGTATGGTCTGGTCAAGTTACTTAAATGCTCTGCCTCAGTTTCTCCTTTGATAAAATGGGTATATGAATATTTGCCTACCTCGCAGGAGTGTTTTGAGGATTAATTAGTTCGTGCCTGTAAAGTGCTCTAAGGATGTAAACCATTGTATAAATGCTAAGTATTATTATAATTACCTATCACTGTAGAGGAAGGACAGATGTGTGTGGATAAAAGAAGACTCAACCAAACTGTTTAAATAGTTTTAAAAGATTCAGTGGCTATTTTCCCCTTCCAGTTTCTTATTCCATCCAGATAAAGCCCAGGTAGCAAAAGAAACAAGCTATTCACAAGAGAGAAAGGATGGTCCAGTGCTTAGGGTGCTCACCTGGGACTCGGATGGCCTTAGTTCAATTCCTTGCTCTTCCTTAAGACTTACTGTGGTGAATCTCTTAGTCTCTCTGTGCCCCAGTATCCTTTCTGTAAAATATGGATAATAGTATTACCCTAAAGTAATTGTGGGTGTATAAATATGATGGACTCTAGAGTCTTTCCTCATGCTATATCTGATTTAGCTGGTGGGAATCCAAAGATGTGGGTGTTTATCTAAATCAGACCCCCAAACATTTTAAGACTGGCCTGTCACTAGCGATGATTTCCTCAGGCAGATCCGTAACTGCAAGACCCGTTTTAACTCAGTATTTCATGATAATCAAGAATGTTGCATTGTTATAATGAGTTGCCCTTTCCTTTATGATCAATTAATACCTGCCCTGTAATCTATGAGGGACTGAGGAATTCAGATGAACCAAACTCACTTTATATAATATACTGTGTGTTACAGGAGCATCTGACAGACCTGAAAGAAGATCTGGATAAGGATGAATGTAAACAGGAGCCCGACGTTATTTATGAGACAAATTGTCACTGGGAAGGGTGCATAAAGGAATATGACACTCAGGAGCAGCTCGTCCATGTGAGTAATGTTGGAAAGAAACCCCGGCAATAAATTTGGATTTCTGTGCATTTGTCGTCACTTTTCATCACAAGATGCTGTACAGCAGGAGCTCACTCTGGGAGCCACTAACGGTGCAAATTAGAGGTACAGTGTGCAAACACTGCAAGCTCAGCTCACAATTCCTTGAAGAGTTTAGCTTAGATCATTTGATAGTCTTATGTTTCAGCTGCTGAGGGTGTAATGCTGGTTCCCCTTGCAAAGCCCAATAAAAGGGCTGTGTGTAGGGGATCTTATATGGCTGCTGGGGGGGATGAATCTCCTCCCCTATAATGGGCAGTTGGACACAAAGCACCTGCATAGCCCAACCACTGTGGTTCTGGCCCCTGGGCTGGCTGTCAATCAGTTGTTCAGCACCTTTGGAGCTGACCGCCAATCAGCAAGTGACTGGCAGGAGGCGCTCAGACGAGGGAGGGCAAAGAGGAGGGACCGATGAGGGGGGGCTCAGAGGGAGGGGGCCGACAGGAGCGAGTGGCAGGTGGGTGGGGGGGTCTCAGGGAAAGCGGCCAGAGCGGGAGCAGGGCCTCAGGGCAGAGCCGGGGTGGAACACCCAAACCGAAAGTCAGCTTCTGTGCAAGGAGCCACCGGATTTGTGGCCTAAAATGTAGAGTTGTCTCATATAAAAATAAAACCAAAACCACGGCTGATGGTGGTGTTACCAATCCCAGAGCCATTCTTTGAAGGCTCCGCAAAGTGAGTCAGTTATCTGATCTCCAAAAATAACTAATTTCTGCATTAGGGGGAACCTATTTTGTGTTTTGATTCACACCCCTCAGTTTCTCTCTGACGCTGACAAATCCCCAAAACAAGAAGTGACTATCAACAAAATCAAGCCAGTTTTGCAATTAACCCTCCCACTGCCGCTTTAGCCACAATCTCCATTCCAATCTGTAACTTGAACCTGGCTCATTCTAAAGCCAGCTCAGGTTGACTGAAAATTCACCAGCCTCATCCTCACTGGCCTGAGTTCTGAGTATGTAACAAAATCCTCCGCTGAGCAAATTTCATTCAAAAGCCTCATGCAGCTCTGCTTTTCCTGTTCTATCGGCCTTTTTCTGGACTGGCTGTCAATCTCCCAAGGGCCAGCTACATGCAAAATAGCTTTTACAATGTGATTCAATGACTCGGGGTGAAGGCCACACAGCACAAGACTAGAGGGGGTAAGACGTTCGAAATGATAACAGATCTGTTTCTTGAAAAGAGAGATTTTCACAACCTCTCTCATGACTACTATTTATTAATCTATTGTTTCGTAGTTTATCCTGTTTATTCAGGGAGAGTGCTCGGAGGCCACCACTCAGTGATGTGGGCCAGATTGCACTAGGCACTCTTACACACACATCATGAAAATACAGTCCGAGCCCCAGAGAGCTTACGATTTAAGCTAAGGAGAGCAAATGCCAAATCATAAATCAAAGACAAAATCCAGCTGACTTTAACAGGCACTTGAGGTCAGTCATTCAGTGTAGTTAGTGCTGAATATGTTTGAGTTGGAAATAATTTTGGGTGTGGAATGAGTCAGGTGCATTTGAGAAGTGGGCACAGGTATGTCCCTTTATTGTTGTAATAAATCTCACAATCCTGTATCCCATCACTGTTCAGTAATCCATAATCATAGAATAGCAGGGACCTGAGGAGGTCATCTAGTCCAACCCCCTGCTCAAAGCAGGGCCAATCCCCAAACAGATTTTTGCCCCCTCAAGGATTGAACTCACAACCCTAGGTTTAGCAGGCCAATGCTCAAACCACTGAGCTACTCCTCCTCCCCCATAGCTGCATGGGGGTGTGTTTCCACATTTGTCAAGCAGTATTTTTTTCTCCTAGTTGTAGGGAAAGCCCTGTAGCTCATCCCAGAGCAAGACAGATCCCTGCAGTTCAGCATCATTTATTTCTAAATAAACCAAAAAGAAAATATTGGAAAAAATATACAATAATTTCCTCATTTTAGAAGGTTTTAGAAACTGACACTACTTTGATGTAATTATTGCCAGCAGTTCAAGGAGCTGTGGATTTGTTGCCCAAAATACACACACAAATGAAATTCACATGTAGATGTATTGAGCCAACTTCCCAAAGGATGGCTTCCCACTGTGCCTGGAAATACATGTTTGCATGCACAGATGGAAGTACCGGGGCCCGTAAGGGCTAGTTAGCACACAGTGAGCCAACGTGCTGCTTGTGTGAGCAGCATCTGCGTGGGGTGGCGCCAGAGTACACACAATTTTGTGGCAACTCCATTGCTCCCTGCTTTGAATGTTTCACTCATCAGCAGAGAGAAGCCGAAACTAACACTTCAAAGCTAAATTGGGCAGGAAGGGCAAACTGACTAAAATCCCCTAATCCGGCCCCTCCATAGTTTTAATTCCAGGTCAGATTTTCAGAGCAACAGGGGCCTAGTGGCCTGTCATTCAGGTCTGGTCTGCAGGTGGCCCAGTGCCTCCAGAGATCTCACCAGAAGAACTGATCTCACCATACTTCTGCCACCTGGGCTGAAGTTCTAGGAAAACAATTTGTAAGAGTTTAGGGCCACAAAATCAGAATCTTAGACATGATTAATCTTAAATTTCAGCTTCAAACCCTAGAGGAAACCTAAGCCAATTCTACAAAAAGAAGAACAGGAGTACTTGTGGCACCTTAGAGACTAACAAATTTATTAGAGCATTTGTCTCACCTTAGTCTCTAAGGTGCCACAAGTACTCCTGTTCTTCTTTTTGCGGATACAGACTAACACGGCTGTTACTCCTAAGCCAATTCTGAATGCTGCAACCTCCTGTGAGTTTGGCTCATCGTCACCCCATTCCTCCCACTATACAATATGCCCTTGAGTATGATCTGTCCATTGCCATTTCTACCACGCCGATCTCCAGGGTGTCTCAGTGCCACAAAGACTGAGATTTTGGAACAATGGTGGTGTTAAGGCCCTTACACATCTTCAGAGGGCTAGTCACCCTCTATTCTGTATTATACCATGTACGGCAGGCTAGTTTTTCAATGTGAGCAAGCTGCAGTGTTTTAGCCTATTGCACTTTTAGTCCATAGTTTAACGTGCTCTGTGATTGGCATGAACAAAACCCTGAGTTTATTCTCAAGGTTGCTCAATTCTCTTTCTGCCCAGGCAGCCATACCTTGCTGTGATTGAGCGGGCAAGTTACTCTGTTTTAATGAGCATTTGTTTCCCCATGCTGCTACGTCTCACAGCCCATCAAATCCACTGATCTCAGTGGCAAGCGAAGGCAGGATCTGCATGCCTGACCTTGGGAGGGATGGGGGATGGCTGCAAAAACGCTGAAGCTAAAAAACAAAACCCCAAGTGTTTTATTTTAGGACTTCCTGTTGATGTATTTTATTGAAGTCATAGGAGTGGGGGAGAGGGGAGGGGCCATGGTTTTGGCAGCTAGATTCCGTTCAGAGAGAAATAAGGCTCTTAGTCTATACACGTAACAATACCGCTGCAGAACTGTTCTCTGAATTGTTTTATTGTCTTCAGAGATTGATCTTCCCTATCCTTGTAAAATATGAATCTAGACTTGCACCAGGTAAGAGCAAGGCTCCGCTTTGCTGCCGAGTTTTCAGCACAGGGGTGAAGGCTTTGATGGAGCTGAGGAATTCGCAGTAATTGGGGCTATGGAGTTCTCCTTAGCACATACTTTACAGATGTTGTCATATCCTGCCAGCAGTTAAGCTTTTGACAGCAGGTGGATGTCTTAGCGCCGGCATCCGTTCTGGCACCGAATTGTATTTTTTTTTGCCCTTTACCAGCACTATAAAAAGGGGTCACAGCTGCGTAATTTGGAGAGGGATTTGGAGCTGGAATGTTGGTTTGGACCGTTCCAGAGACAAGAACCAACTGCTTCCAAAAACCAGAGGGTGCTCGGGTCCAACACTAAGCAGTGCTTTTATGTTTTGCTCTTTCATACACTTTAATTAGATTTGGGATTTCTTTTTAAATGTCTCTTGTTCACTGTTAGTCTGAGATTCAGGATATGGGGGGGGGGGGTCAGATCCTCAGCTGATTACAGTGGCACTACCCTGGCCTACACCAACTGAAGAAGCCATGGTCTCTGTGCATGGCTTTGCCCTGATGGTAGTAAAATCCCTTTTAAAAAGCATGAAATTCCTACTGTTGAGAACAGGGTGAGGAAGGAGCAGTTGCCTGGAAATGGACAAATCTGTACACATGCAGCGTTTCTTAAAGGGTAACATAATGTCATGGTTTTGTCTATATCACAGCATGTATATTAAAGAATATAATTTGCTAAACTACCCGCAGTTCAGCGAAGTGGAACAAAGCCATCATGGGGTTGTTTTTTTTTCCATTTTAGCAATTGTCATGTGTTCGACTCTATAGGTCATGTGGTGTCAGCTCACGTGCCTTCATCTGATATGTCTCATCAGTTCTAATTTAGTTGAATTATAGGCAGGTGAGCTTAGTGTAAGATCAGGTACACGGCAAGCCAGCCAGCAGCAATCACAGGTGTGCTAGTTGCTGTTTCCATTGCGGCTATGAGGCATCTGACTGGCCTATGCTGGCAACAAATGTAAATCAAAGTGCAAGAACTTATTCCGGCCTTGTGTCACAAGGGTAAAATGGCATAAGGCGCCATTACTCTCCCTCCTCCATCAAGTCCCCAATGAACAGCATGTCAGGATTATTACCTAGCTCTCAGCAAACAGTTCCTGTGTCTTCCTCTATGTTTGTACAGCACCTAGCACAGTGAGGCCTCCTGGTTGAGTTCTTTGCTTATTACAGTAACATAAATAATAATAAAAAGGGCTTATCTTCCACACTAACTGATTCATCACAGGCCTAGTGGGGTGCTTGTTGGCTGGGAGCCATGGCCAGGCCCATAGGCGCCCGTGCTGAAATCTGCTATAAGTTGCATGCTTGTTATCTTCTAAGGAGGAGTAAAGCGTTCCTAGCAGTTCATATCCCTTTCTTCCAAGTCTGTCCTGAACTGTCCTACTCTGGGCTGGCCAGTGATTCTGTTATTAGAAACACAGAAATGTAGGACTCGAAGGTACCTCAATAGGTCATCTAGTCCAGGCCCCACACTCAAGGCATTACAAACTAAGTATATAATGGTGCTACCCATCCCTACTGCACAACTGCCCTTACATTTTTCATATCTAACTTGAGTAGAAATAGGAATGTATGCAACGGGGATTGCTTAGGAATCCTTTCTCTTTTGTTGGAGTAACATCTGATTAGAGAAAAGAACGAGGAGTACTTGTGGCACCTTAGAGACTAACAAATGTATTTGGGCATAAGCTTTTGTGGGTTAAAACCCACTTCATCAGATGCATGCAGTGGAAAATACAGTAGGAAGATAGATAGATAGATAGATAGATAGAGAACATGAAAAAATGGGGGTTGCCATACCAACTCTAACAAGATTAATCAATGAAGGTGGGCTATTATCAGCAGGAGAAAAAAAACTTTTGTGGTGATAATCAGGATGGCCCATTTCAAACAGTTGACAAGAAGGTGTGAGTAACAGTAGGGGGAAAATTAGTATGGGGAAATAGTTTTTAGTTTGTGTAATGACCCATCCACTCCCAGTCTTTATTCAAGCCTAATTTATTGGTGTCCAGTTTGCAAATTAATTCCAGTTCTGCAGTTTCTCGTTGCTGTCTGTTTATGAAGTTTTTTTGTTGAAGAATTGCAACTTTTAGATCTGTAATTGAGTGTCCAGGGAGGTTGAAGTGTTCTCCATCTGGTTTTTGAATGTTATAATTCTTGACATCTGATTTGTGTCCATTTATTCTTTTGCGTAGAGACTGTCCGGTTGGCCAATGTACCTGGCAGAGGGGCATTGCTGGCACATGATGGCATATATCACATTGGTAGATGTGCAGGTGAACGAGCCCCTGATGGCATGGCTGATGTGATTAAGTCCTATGATGGTGTCCCTTGAAGAGATATGTGGATAGAGTTGGCAACGGGCTTTGTTGCAAGGATAGGTTCCTGGGTTAGTGTTTTTGTTGTGTGGTGTGTGGTTTCTGGTGAGTATTTGCTTCAGGCTGGGGGAGCTGTCTGTAAGTGAGGATTGGCCTGTCTCCCAAGATCTGTGAGAGTGAGGGATCGTCCTTCAGGATAGGTTGTAGATCCTTGATGATGCGCTGGAGAGGTTTTAGTTGGGAGCTGAAGGTGACAGCAAGTGGTGTTCTGTTACTTTCTTTGTTGGGCCTGTCCTGTAGTAGGTGACTTCTGGGTACCCTTCTGGCTCTGTCAATCTGTTTCTTCACTTCAGCAGGTGGGTATTGTAGTTTTAAGAACACTTGATAGAGATCTTGTAGTAGGTGTTTGTCTCTGTCTGAGGGATTGGAGCAAATGTGGTTGTATCTTAGAGTTTGGCTGTAGACAATGGATCGTGTGATGTGGTCTGGATGAAAGCTGGAGGCATGTAGGTAAGTATAGTGGTCAGTAGGTTTCCAATATAGGGTGGTGTTTATGTGACCATCGCTTATTAGCACTGTAGTGTCTGGGAAGTGGATCTCTTGTGTGGACTGGTCCAGGCTGAGGTTGATGGTGGGATGGAAATTTAGAAGAATGTTTTGCTTCCTCTGTCAATGGGTCACGTTCGGGCCCCCCACTGAGAAGCATTCTGGGTGGGAGCTCAGGGATCATGGAGCGTGGTCCACATGTTGTTGTACATTTACACTCCCAGGCCCCCCCCCCCCACGTGTGCAGTTCATTCTGCAGCTGGCCAGAATAGGGGTACACATTGCTTTTGCAGAGCATAAGTTATATCCCCAGTTGACACAAGCTGAGGGCCTGGTCCATTGAAGCAGTAGCACTTCGAACGGGTAAAAAGCTAGGTATGTGCTTGAGGAAGTAGTAGTATTGTTGTTTATTTGTTTTATCGTGGTGCTGTACAAACACTGAACGAAAAGATGGCCCTCTCATCCAACCCACAATATAGACACAGCACAAGAGCCCCATATGGCTCCATAGCATTATTTATGTCACGGTAACATCAGACCACAACTGCTGTTGAGAGGAACTGTTGTTTTGTTGGTGCACTTCAGAGTGACACATGCAGTGATGGCTTTAGCTGTTCTAATCATGATCTGGTTTTCTTTCTCTTACGCTAGCACATCAATAACGATCACATCCACGGGGAGAAGAAGGAGTTTGTCTGCCGCTGGCAAGACTGCACTCGGGAGCAGAAGCCATTCAAGGCTCAGTACATGTTGGTGGTGCACATGCGAAGACACACTGGAGAAAAGCCACACAAGTGCACGGTGAGCCAGTATGGGGGACATGAATGTATGCCTGGACACAGACTAAAGAGTCACACCAAAGCTCTATGAATGATCACTCCACCCCATTCTGGGCAAGTTCAGATCCAATTTTTCAGCACTAATGGGCTTTAAGTCCTTGCAGGCTGTCCCCTTGGGACGTTAAAGTTAATGGAGAGGAAGGTTGGTCCAATGGTTATGGTGCTAGCCCAGAATTTGGGGAGACCTGGATTCAACTCCCTGCTCTGCTACAGACTTCCTGTATGACCTTGGGCAAATCACTTAGGGACAGATTTTTAAATGTATTTAGGCACCTAGCTCCCTTTGAAATCGGTGGGAGTTAGGTACTTAAATACCTTTAAAAATGTGGCCCTTAGCATCTCTGGGCCCCAGTTCCCTATCTGTTAAATAAGGATAATCCTTTCCAATCTCACAGGGTGTGGTATTGCATATTCAGCTTCCCACCTAGGAATCTATTTCCCCCCCATTGAAGATTAAGTAATCTGGTGATTTACACCCATAAATTAAGACTAGACTGGGCCAGTTCCTTGGTGGAGTGAATCGGCGTAGCTCCCTTGAAGCCAATTTCTGTATAAGATATCCACATTCGCAGACCAGCGCTTAGCTGTGGGAACATCTGGTTTGAGCACCCAAGGATTTGGCTGTCCTGGCTGTTCAGATGCCATTATTTGAAAATTGGGCCACAGTGGGAACACTCTTAATTAGCTGCATTACTGTGACAATAGCCAGTATTGCTAGAACACCTCAGTGATGCTCGCGTACCAGTGATTTCCAGTAAGTTGAGTGATATTTTTCAACACCTGTAAATGACATATGATGTCACATGCATAGGGTGAGAGAACAAAAGTAATTATATTCTGTTAACTCATGGTTATGACGTGCTGAATGAAACAAATGTACTAGAGGAAGCTTACCACTCAGAAATGTACTAGAGGAAGGGTAGGCACTCAGAGACTATGGTAATGGGCACAATGTGGGACCCTAATTAGAACAGAATTACCTGTGCAAATGTGGTCCTTCGTTTGATCTAAACAGTTATACATCTTAACCTTGACAATCGCATCCATCATTAAATTGGACTATAGCATTCCTGTAGTATAGGAATGGTTGCAAGCACGGTGGCGGACAACAGTGTCTGGAGCCATTACTGTAGTTCTTTTTTATAAGAGATTCACACCAAGATTCATGGCTCTTCATGCTCCTTTTGATCAGTGTTCTAGACTGGCGAGAGAGGCAAAAAGGTTCCAACAAAAGTTCCTGTTTCTCCTGAACGGTACGGAATTATTCAATGAATTAACTTTTGGTTTTCCAGAACAAGGGCCTCTTTTGATTGCCAAGACTTTCATAAATGGCAGCCTAACATGATCCTCCTAATTCCAGATTTAGGCAAACTGATTAAAATGAGCCCCCCGTGGGCCCCAGAGATTGAAATGGGAGCTGTGGACATTTTTGAAATTCAGATCCTTCCATAGGACAAACAAGGAGAGTCAGCCAGCACTGGATGGTGGTGGGACTTACATCATTGAAAATCTGGTGATGTCTCTGGAGTGGCTCTTTCTCTTTGTGTGGGAAGTTGCTTTCTTTCCAGGCCCCTGGCATGTGGTGCCATCCAAGAATCCATTAAGATTGAGGATCTTGGTTTTTAAGATGGTAATGTCAGGCAGGCTGACCTCAGAGCCCTCAGGAAAGTGGAACCAAACTGTAATTAGGGAATTGGTGGAACCAAACTGTAACTTCGAAACTTGCTATTTTAACTCTTTTCCTTCAGAAAACTGGCTTGTCTCACAAGCTTTGGAGCTAGTGAAATGGAGACACCTTGGTCAGGATTTTCAAAAGCAGCTAGTGATTTGGGGGGGCCTCCATTTTTGGATGCATGACCTGAAACATCTTAAAGGGGAGCCTAATATTCAGAGAACAGGTGCTCAGCCCTGCCTGAAAATCAGATTCTTGTCAGGTATCTATCACAAGTTGGGCACCCAAAATTTGAGGAGCCCTAAATCACAAGCCTCTTTTGACAATTTTGCTCTGCCCAGGAAGGAAAAGCTCTCTCAACAAAGTGGATGTTAGTTTGCAAAACACAGGCTCCTTAAAAGGGAAAAGAAATGGAAAGCAGATGAGGAGGCAAAAACCACCACTGTGGTTGATGAATCGCTCCCATTGTGTTTTTATTTTAGTTTGAGGGTTGCGCCAAAGCCTATTCTCGACTGGAGAACTTAAAGACACACCTGAGATCTCACACTGGAGAAAAGCCGTACGTCTGTGAACATGAGGGCTGCAATAAAGCCTTTTCCAACGCTTCGGACAGAGCAAAGCACCAGAACAGGACGCATTCCAATGAGGTAAACCCATCCTCACCACAAGTGCTGTGGATTTTTAACAAAATTTTTGCTGACAATGTACACTTTATATGCTGGACTCGTGTAAAAAGGAATTTACCATAATGAAAGACTTTTATTTTTTTACTTGGATTTATTTTGCTGCAGAGCCAGACCGCATTAGCTTTATATTTATGAAAGCCATGTTAGAAACTATAAATAGATGCTGAAGTATGCAAATTTTCTGATTGGCTTTTGAAATTAAAGCTGGTGCTTTCCAAATTCATAATTTTTAATAGCCCAAACAGGGTCCTACATTTTTGTACCTTGCTTTTTAACATGATTGCAGCATAGACTCATAGTGGTGTGATTTCTACCCTGGGTCCTGACGCTTTGGAAATAGTCGCACCTGCATCTTTTGATGTACAATGATAAAGTGTGATGCAATGCTTTGTTAACCCTGGCTAATTAAGACCCACTATTAGAAGTTGGGAAATGCAGGAAATTGCCTTTATTGTAATGCATTTGATGGTCTGCTGCAAATGGCTAAGGCTCAGGTTTAACAATTATATTACTACTAATTAGCAGACGACGGGAAGGGGGAAAAAACAGTGTTCTAGAGTTCTAGTAATGTTTGCAACCATGAAGGAACAAGTCTGTAGCCTAATTTGTAACAGTTAAATATGAATCATTGGAGAATGGAATAAAGTGATTTCAATGGATGACAGAATTTTAAAGCAATACTATATTACCCAGTGATAAGCAAACTTCAAAAGGTTTCATGGATTTGGTTCAGGTGGGAATAAGCACTCCAAAGTTTTGGATGCTTCTCTGAGCTATTTTAACTAGAGAAGGACCCAGATGAACAACCCAGATCCAAACGTCTTTCCAGGTATTCAGATCTGAATCCAAATATCTAGGCTGACCTCTCTCAGTGATAAGCTGGTGGGTAAGTTAGAGCTGCTCCCTTGCAAATCTGATTTGTACCAGGGCTGGGCAGCTCGAGACTTATAAATTCATAGACTCGAAGGCCAGATCATCTAGTCTGCCCTCCTGTGTATCACAGGCCATTCAGTTGCACTCACTGCCCCTATATTGAGCCCAGTAACTTGTGGTAGGCTAAAGCATATCCTCCAGAAAGACATCCAGTTTTGATTTGAATACAACAAGAGATGGAGAATCCCCCAGTTCCCTTGGTAGTTTGTTCCGATAGTTAGTCACCCTCACTGTTAAAAATTTGTGATCCATTTGAATTTGGCTGGCTTCAGCTTCCAGCCATTGGTCCGTGTTATGCATTTCTCCCCTACATTAAAGAGCCCATTAGTTTCTGATATTTACGTCCCATGAAGGTATGGAGGCGCTGTAATCAAGTCACTTCTCACTCTTCTTTTGGATAAACTAAACAGATTGAACTTTTTAAGTCTCTCACTGTACGGCATTTTCTCCAGCCCTTGAATAATTTTTGTGGTTCTTTTTCACCCATCTCCAATTTTTCAACATCCTTTTAGAAATATGGACACTAAAACTGGACACATTATTCCAGCATTGGTCTCCCCACTGCCGGGGACAGAAGTGAAATCAACTCCTACTCACTACTCCCCTGTTTATACATCCAAGAATTGCATTAGCCCTTTTTGCCACAGCATTGCACTTTCTCAGAGTCATGGGTTTCCAGGATGCAGTCCCCCATTTCTGTATGTATAGCCTGAATTCCTTGGTCCTGGATGTATAACTTGGCATCTGACTGCATGAAATTGCATTTTGTTTGAATGGATCCAGGTTACCAAGCAATCCACAGAGCTGCAATAGGTCTCTGATAGCCCTCGCACTACTTGTATGCAGTGTATTTGGAGCTGTGTCAGTCCCAGGATATTAGGACACAAGGTAGGTGAGGTAATATCTTTTACTGGACCAACTTCTGTTGGTGATAGAGACAAGCTTTCGAACTTACCAGAGCTCTGTGTGACTCGAAAGCTTGTCTCTCTCACCAACAGAAGTTGGTCCCTCACCCACCTTGTCCCTCTCCTAAGAACATAAGAACGGCCATACTGGGTCAGACCAAAGGTCCATCTAGCTTCACATCCTGTGTACTCAGGCTAGACCACAATTTCACATTCAGAAAAGGCGGAATTATCCATCAATATTCACAAGAAATTAGGCCCAGATTCCCCAGGTTTGTCCCCATCAGTTTGTAACAAACCTGTTAGGAATATGGTTCAGTCTCTTATTGCTTTCATGGCATCAGGTTTCCAGGCTGCCGGTATATCGCTACTTTGGCCGCCATTCATTTGAAATGAGGAAATGTGCCCGTGTGTTATCAATGAACCCATTAGGATATCGCAGCTGTGGATTTTCCAGGGAAGAGATGTCTAGTGTTGTTCCAGAAAATTGTTCTTTAACTCCATCACCCCACTGTGGTGCAAACCTGCTGGCTCACTGAAAAGTTCAAGGTGACGCAAGTCCGCAGCTATTAGGCTACATCTACAGTACAGCTGGGAGTAGGCTGACCAGATAGGAAGTGTCAAGAATCGGGACAGGAAGTGGGGGGTAATAGGTGCTTTTTTGAGAAAAAGACCCAAAAATCAGGACTGTCCCTATAAAATCGGGACATCTGGTCACCCTAGCTGAGAGGTGTGATTCCCAGCTCAGGTAGACGTACACGCACTAGCTCTGATCGAGCTAACACGCTACAAATAGCAGTGAAGCTGCGGCAACACAGGCAGCTTACACAGGCTAACCCCACCTGCCCAGGACCCTGTGTAGACACTCGAGCAGCTGCTACCTAGCTAGATCAAAACTTTCTCAGGCGTGTCTACACATGCTCCAATCATATCTCCCTATTGCAGTGTAGACATACCCAAAGAGACATTTTTCCCCAACTCGAGCTGAAAAGCAGTTGAACTCTAGAAATCCAGTGCCCCTGAGTTTCTGAGAAGGCTTGTGATGATTCCACCAGCCGAAGAGATGTAACTTTTCGAGTATTTGAGAAGGATTTGGAAGGAGATATTGGAACTGTTTGCCGGGCTTGAACCGGCAACAGCAGAGCATTCCAAACACCAGATACCTCTGTTTGAACAATGCTTAAGATATTTTGTAGGCATCCCAGACATCCCAAATTTCAATATTCAATATCAAACAGAGCTATTATCTACTCCCCGACATTAGGGCTAAAGGACCTTTGTAAGTCATCATCTCCTATTCCCTTTTCCCTAATGCAGATTATAATAATAGTAATAATACTTCTATATTGCCCCATCCAAGAATCTAAGTGAGCATTACAAATATTAATTCATTAAATCACCACAGCACCCTGTGAGGTAGATACTTATCTCCCCATTTTACAGATGGAGAAACTGAAGCACAGAGAGTTAAAGTGACTTACCCAAGATCAGCCAGGAAGTCTGTTGCAAGAATAGATCTCTAGTGCTGTTCATGTGATTGTGCTGGTTTAGTTTTGTTTGTTGGTTGGTTTTGTTTGGTTTGACTTTACCCCAAACTAACTAACTAAATAATTCTACCCCCAGCAATTTTACGTGTGCTCTTCGGTCAAATTGGAAAATAGATACCTAACTAATAGAAATGGCCATTTTTGGTTAACCTTAGAAAATCATTTATGTATTGTTCCTTCAGATGGATCCATTCCAATGTCACAGTGGAAAAGTACTTAGAGCAATTGTGAGGCTGAAGTGGTGCTTGTGATCAATTCAACCCTTCAAAAGCAGCACTAGCTTTCACAGCTTTGGTGCTCATGCACATTGGAATTGGAAAGTGAATAAATCAAAGTTTTTTTTTTTAAAAGAAAGGATGGCTACTTGCTAACTTCTATTTCCAAAAGTCTGGCCTCAGACTTGCTTTGCTGCAGTGATCAATGATTCATGATTCTAGAAATACATTGCCATTGTCTTAAAAAGTATTGCGTGCCTGTGGTTTGTTTTGCACAATAACAGATTTCAGAGTGATGGGTGCTGGAGATATACGAAAGACTAGATAGACAGAATCCAGTCTGGCTTAGTTTCTCTGGATTTCCATAGATCAGGAGGTCTCAAACATTTTCCCAGAGTAGACACCATCTTAACGGAGAGATTGTCTTGTAGACAATCCCCTGCAATTCCAATGACTCAGACCACCTCCCCTCCCATCCACAATCATGAAACATTCCTGTGGCAACAAATGCTTAGATGGAAGAGTAATATTAGGAAAGTATTTTGTGAATTTGTAGCTGTCTTTGAATTTAGCAGCCCAAAACAAGAAGTAAAGCCAGTACCATGCGACTAGCCAGGTCTCTGTGGCTCACCACCAAGTTTTCCATGACCACCAGCAGAACATGGATCACAGTTTAGAAATCTGCCGCAGATGATTTGCAAGATCCTAAGAGGCAGATTCTTCACTTTTTTTTGCTGGCAGCATCATGTTCATTGTGTTCTGTAAGGACATGACTTATCTTTGTCCACAAAGCATGTCCACAATATTTCAGTCTGCTTTAAAAATAACCTCACATTTGTCATATCGACAGAAACCGTATGTCTGTAAAATCCCGGGCTGCACAAAGAGATACACGGACCCCAGTTCCCTCAGGAAACACGTCAAGACTGTGCATGGGCCCGATGCCCATGTCACAAAGAAACAGCGCAACGACGTTCACCCACGGCCACCTCCCCTCAAGGAAAATGGCGACAACGAAGCAAGTGCCAAGCAGAGTAGCAAGGTGTCAGAAGACAGCACTGAGGCTAACAGCACCACCAGAGGCATGGAGGACTGCTTACAAGTCAAAACAATAAAGACCGAGAATTCTGTGGTAAGAGAAGCTGTTGTTTAAAAGATAAGAGTATGGTTTGTAATTTCTCGGAGACACAGGAGAAAAATGTAAAGTTGCAGCCTTTTTCCTCCTCATTCATTTGCCATGCACTCCGAAATTTGCAGGACGATTCCAGTTTTCAAGGTCCCCAACCCTAAATTTAAGATTGCAGGACAGTTAAGAGTCCCCAGTGTATTTTGTGTCTTGTTACACAGCAACACAGAGCCCAAGGTGTGATATTTGTAACATTGCTGATACGTCATGATAGGATGATGAATGAATGCGTCAGCCCATGCGGCCTTAATGCCATGCCACAAAGGTGAAAATGTGACAATAACATGTCATCATAATACAATATCTTTTGTCCCCCAAGACACTTTAAATCAGGCAGTAGTCTTATTTCCTTTCCAAGTCAGCCGCAAGTCATGTGTGTTTCTGTGTATTACACAGTAGTTAGAGGAAGTCAAGAGTCTTGCTGCACCATAACTCTTTCACATTTCAACATTTCTCCTTCTCTTAGCAGCCAAAAAGACAATTTTTTTGTAAAACAAAAGGCAATAAATGGCTGAACTAAAGTCACTTTCACCTGCTAGAGTTCATTCAGTCCCCGGGTTTCTCACTGGAGTTGAGAGAACTTCACAAGCCTTTGAGACTCAAAGTATACAGTTTCTTGATTTTAAGCCAGGCTAAAATGTTTCCATTTCTACCAGTCAACATGGCTTTGCATAATAAAAGGGCCAGATGCCATGCTCTTGGCTGATACTGTGATGATATATGAGTTTAGTCCAGGAAGGAATTGACTATTTTCACAGCCAGAATGGCTTTTATTGGCTAAATGGACAATTTCACCTTCACATGCTCCTGTGTTCATTGAAAAACTTAGCGTAAGAATAAGTCACACACACACACACACAGTGTTTTTTTCTAGGAAAATATTTCTCCCCTGTTTTCCCTAACGGTGATTTTTCTAACAGATTGTAGGTCAAGTTCTTTCCATAGTTACACCCTGTGCAACTCCATTGGTGTTAGGCACAGTGGGCAACCCTTCCTTTCTGTTACACCCACGGAACCTCTTTGACTTCACTTCGGCTGCATGGTGTAACGAGGGCTCACTGTGCCTATCGACAACATATGTATCTCTCTGTATTTACTACTTGTTTCAATTCAAATCTCCGAAGCCCTGGGATGGCGCTAGTGACTGGTTGATTGAAATCACTTGTAATGGCATCTGGGGGTCCCTCTTTCTGACCCAAAATTCGATCTAATCTAAAATCCACCAAGGTCTGTGAAAATTCACTGGGATTTGGATCCAGGTACATTAAGAGGTGTTCAATTAAATGTCCTGACTTCTGAATTGGGGTGGGGTGGGTGTCGGGAAAAAGAATGCTGCTAATTTACCCTGAATTGTGCACTCCCCTCTATGCTCTTTCACTAATCTTCTCCCTTTCGTTAATGTTCTCTTTATTCTAACTACCTGTTCTTTGTTCCCACTTACCTTTCCTTACTGTACCTTCCTAAGGACAGTCGGTACTAAGGTGAGCAAAGAAATTCTTTGTATTGAAATCGTTGTATAAAAATGTGATATATTCTGTATTGTGCATTTACAGCTAACCAAACTGAGCTAGTGTGTAAATGCAAAGGAAGTGAGGAGGTGTAGGTGGGCAGCCAGTAAGGGGCCATTGGGGGAGGGTCCAGTCTTGGGACTCTTTGTCAGTGTCCCAAGAATTCCCCTTAGTTAATTCCTCTCAGCATTACACCTCAGCATTGCACTCCTGGAATATAACCTCTGTCCTTCCAATGAAAGGAAACTGGACCCTTTAAAGCCAGGCAGCCCTGCTATTTAGGGCTGGTTTTGATCAAAATAAGGCACTCCCTCTCCCGACACTCCCACCTGGTCCCGGGGCTAAATATGTTGCCTCTGCAGCATTCCCAGGTTGTGACAATCTCAGGAGCAAGAGTTCAGGACCAGGAATTGAGAACCCTGGCATCTTCCCTAACAATGAAGAGTGCTGTGACCAAGCACGTTCAGACCATTCAATGTTTGTTGCAAATAAGTTGCTCAGTGTGAAATGTCATTTCTAATGCAAGTAAAACAAGCCTTTATGGCACTTATCTACCCCATCTGTAAGTGGGAGCTTGCAAACAGCAAACCATGTTTTTCTCCGTCTAGAAAGATTGTCAGCTAAACTAATTACATGTTAAGGTATTTAAAAGACAGAAATATGTTGTGCCTGAAACACTTAGGACTTGATCCTATGTTAGATAAACTGGTGCTCATTGCAGTTGTACTTTGCACAATCTGCTAATGCACTAGCTTATCTTAATGAAGCATCAACCCTTTATCTACTGCAGCAGCAATGTTTGGTTTGTCTCTATGGGCAAAATGAAACACACCAAAGATTTTTAACCCATAGGGGTTTTATGCAAATGCTTGTGAATTAAAAAAAAAGTCCATCCAAATTTGTTAAAGTACTGCTGTTTTTAAATAAACCTAGTGCCCACAGCATGAAACTATAATGCCAGTTGGCATTAATTAGCATGCTGGCCTTGTCAGCAGCAAAGACTGGATGTGGAAACTAAACTATTCACCCCCACCTAGAAAGTGCTCCGTGGCTGCAGAACAGAGCTGAGATGTGGCAGTGGGCAGCATGTGTGTATGGGGAAGGAGGTGACCACATGTTCCCTGTATCAAATGTGTTGATAAATAGGAGACTTCAGTCTCCGGGTCCGTGTGTGTGTGTGTTCCAAAGCTGTGTTTTCAACTGCAGAACTCAGACCTTCTATTATTTCTCCTTTCCAAGATGTGTCAGTCCAGTCCTGGTGGCCAGTCATCATGCAGCAGTGAACCATCACCACTTGGTAGCACCAACAACAATGACAGTGGAGTAGAAATGAACATGCACAGTGGGGGAAGCCTGGGAGACCTGACCGCACTGGATGACAACGCTCCTGTTGTGGACTCGACAGTCTCATCGGGCAATTCAACAGTCAGCCTTCAGCTAAGGAAACACATGACAACGATGCAGCGACTTGAACAGCTCAAGAAGGAGAAACTCAAGACGGTTAAGGATTCCTGCTCATGGGTGAGCCCAGCTCCACAAGTCAGAAACACCAAGCTGCCTCCCATACCAGGAAATGGTAAGCCATGGTCCTGTGTTCTTCCCGCTGTTAGACTCCCTCAGGCCATGTCCCATGTCTCACAGTGAAGGGTCTGCCCTAGAGCAGAATCATTTCCCCGCCTTTCAGCATCACTCCTCACAGAATAAAGATTGAGCTGTCTCATAAAAGGACCACTCAGGTGTGAACTCAGCTGTATAATTTTGGGTAGGATTCCCAGGGTTGCCCAAGGCTAGTTTGCACCTGCCCCCACCTTACCCCAGTGGTGGAAATTACAGCAGCCCTGTGCTATCAGTAACAATCCCCTGTGGCCTGTTTTGCCGTCTGAGGACTGCTAGAGCAGAACAACAATCTAGCCATGCCCCCATCCCTGGCCATGACTTTGTCCTGCCCCTATATCAGGTGGGGAGCTCAGTGGTGGTGGCATAGAGCCACCTATGCTAGTTTTAACTTCTATGCCGGCTGGAGATTCCTGACTAGGACAAATTTATGATCATTTTGTGCCTCTCCAGCTTATCAAAGGAAAAGTCCCTGGGCAGATGATCTGTCCTTAGAGTTTACTGTATAGGAGCTTCTTGAATTGCTCTGGGAAAAATCTCAGAAGGGTGCGTGAATTTCTAGTACTGAGCAATGAGACCTCTGCCTCTGAATTTTTGAAACCAGTTTGAGTGACTGATCATATGACCAGGCTTGGACACCACACGTTATGCCTGTAGTGTCTTTCATTCTGCCTTATAAAAAGAAGCTCATAGGAATGCTCTCCTCATCGGTTGCAGTGGCAATGAAGCAAACACTGGAAAAGACTCTGTAGCAGCGACTCAATTAATTTCCTGAGTACATCTCACTGTCCTCTCTCCCTGCCCTGGACTGTCCCTTGTCTCATAGGAGCAGAGCTGCAGACAACGTGCTGACTCCATTATCAGTTAGTCACGTTTACATCACTCTTCTTAAGCAGACATTTGTTGTTGGGTAACACACACAGATCTGTATTTAGACCCCAAGCACAACAGTGAATGTAATGTAGCTATTTACCCCAAAATAGCCCTCTCCGCTAACAAAACCTTTTTTCTTCCCCCCCAAACCCTCTTCCAGGCTCTATCCTAGAAAATATTGGTGGTTCCTCTGCTACACTGCCTAATCCTAGAATAACGGAGCTGACTGTAAATGAGATTACGATGCTGAACCAACTCAACGAACGCCGCGACAGTACGACAAGCACCATCAGCTCGGCCTACACTGTGAGTCGCAGATCATCGGGGATTTCCCCTTACTTCTCTAGTCGCCGTTCCAGCGAAGCTTCGCAGTTTGGGAATCGTCCCAACAACGCGAGCTCTGCCGACTCCTACGACCCCATTTCTACGGACGCGTCACGCAGATCGAGCGAAGCCAGCCAGTGTAGCGGCATACCAGGCCTTCTCAACCTCACGCCAGCTCAGCACTACAGGCTGAAAGCCAAGTATGCTGCTGCCACGGGGGGCCCTCCTCCCACACCTCTACCTAACTTGGAAAGAATGAGTCTGAAGAACAAGATCTCTCTTCTCGATGGGCCAGATCCTGCTTTGCCTTCATTTCGCCTCCCTCCTGGGCCAAGACGCTGTAGCGATGGCAGCACTTATGGGTACGCAGCAGCCCCGGCTTTTCCCCATGACGTGGCAGGTAACAACACAAGACGCGCGAGTGATCCTGTGAGGAGACCCGCCGCAGATCCACTGTCCCTCCCTAGAGTCCATCGCTTCCATAGCACCAACAGCATGAATCCCCTCCACCCACCACATCCTGCGGACAGAAGGAACTGCAGCCTTCCAAATTACACACGCTCTGATGGGAGCCTTCCCAGGCACGTCTATTCACCTCGACCTCTGAGCATTAGTGAAAATATTACCATGGAAGCAATGTCAGGTGAGACGGAAGGCCCCATTGGAGAAGATGACATTATGCTGCCAGATGATGTAGTGCAATATATCAAATCTCAGAACAATGGGACAGCTGTAGAAAACACTTCCATGGGGTACAGTAATGAAATGCTAAACTTCCAAGGCAATGGGAAACTGCAACATCAGAACTTGTCTAGCCAGCACAGGATGGCTGGAACTGATGCAAGCGTGAACCATTTGGGTCCAGGGGTGACAGAGTGCCACATGAGCTTTGGTGCTCCCTCGAACATGAGCAAAAACAACATGCCCGTCCAGTGGAATGAGGTTAGCTCAGGTACCGTTGATGTTATGTCTAACCAATCGAAGCAACAGTTTTCTCAAGGAAACTTAGCTGTTGTCCAGCAGAAGCAGAACTTTGGTCAGTATCAGAACTTTAACCAGCAGCAAATGCAGATGAGTCAAAGCGGCATGAATGTAACACAGCAGAATTTTATGCAAAGAAATGTGAGCGTGGATGGACAAAGACTCAATTGTATGCAGCTGAGGCAGCAGCAGATAAATCCAGGCCCTAATATGAACTCCGATTTGAGCCTGCACCAAGGGTATAACCAGGCTCATCAACTGCTGAGCCCAAATGCAATCAGTGGAGATCCAAACCAGCTTTCCCCTTCTTGTAGCAACGTGGTAGTGAAGTCTGGATCCCACGTTCATCCTCAGCAAATGGACGTTGCAACAGATCCCTCTTTAATGGTCAACAGTCATAGACTGACTCAGGTCATGCATGAACAAAGTCAGCAGAACTATTCATCTCAGACAAATCCCATGAATTTCTCCATGACTCAGGAGGTGTTTTATCAGCCCCCTTCTTTAATGACCTCAAATCAGTCAAACTTTGAGCCCCAACAGAGCATAATGGGTTCAGCTAGCCAGACCTACACTCCTGGAATGGTACAGCCTCATCCTCCACCTGACCCTAGTCCAGTAAACAGGCATAGAGGGATACGCAACATGCAGCAACTCGGTTACATGAGAACTCCCCACCCTACTAACGCCATGAGCCCTGGCCAGGAAACAGCAAAGGCCACTCCGAAAAGAACCAACAATATGGTGTCAATGCAGGCTCAGCAATGTGCAAACAGCACGAGGGAAAACAATTTGATGTGCTATTATGGTCAAATCCACATGTATGAACAAAATGGAAACTTTGATAACCATGTGGACTGTAGAGTGGGACAGCAGCAGTGTGCCTTGAATATCAAGCCAGCTGCCATGCCGTCTCCCGGAGCTAACCAGGTGTCAAGCACAGTGGACTCACAGGGTCTGGAGCCTGCTCAGATAGATTTTGATGCCATCATGGATGATGGAGACCATTCAAGCCTGATGTCAGGAACCCTCAGCCCTAGCATTCTGCAGAATCTCTCCCAGAACTCCTCTCGCCTTACAACTCCACGGAACTCTCTGACACTGCCGTCCATACCAGCTGGAATAAGCAACATGGCGATAGGCGACATGAGTTCCATGCTAACCACCCTGGCAGAAGAGAGTAAATTTCTTAACATGATGTCCTAATGATAAAGCCCCACGGTTTATCCCAGGGACTTTACACAAAGCAGTTTTATGAATGTGCTTTTTAAAAATAATCAGTTTCTATAGAGTAGCATTTTTGACAAGTATTAAATACATTAAAGGGATTCAAAGTAAAAAATGTCTCTGTACAGACTTATGTAAACTATCTAAAAGCAGTTTAGCACCAAGAGTGCAACCTCTAGTATTATTTTTTTGCTTGGTTTTTCAGGGGTCTGAGCAACGCCACCGCTAAATGAGAATATTGCATAAGAATGGTTAAAAATGAAATCTTTTCCTCCATGTTTGCCACCTCCCTTTGTTTTCCTTTAGTTATGTCTGCAAAAAGACCATTTCTCAACGCATGTCAGAAACAAATGGAGGGGGGTCTTTTTGATCTGAATAAAAGCCATACTGCATATTCTGCTCCAGTGAGATAAGCATTTAGTTACATCTCCCCAAAAGTCCACTTCCAGCAATATCATTATAAACTGTTCTTTGTACCTTGGGACTTTGTAGAAAAGCATCAGTTCCAAACAGCTTCTCAGAAAAGTGCCTTACTATGCTTTAGTGTTTAGTCAAGGCGTCTCTTCCATTAAAAGCAAATATAGTGTATATAAAATCAAAAGAAATGTACATTTATAAAGCATAGCAGTGTTTCGGAAAAACATCAGAAAGATACATTGATGGGACACATGAAAGATTAATGCCCCCTTTTGTCAGACATGTTTACAATACGGTTTATATCGTGGGTAGAATGTAGCAGAGGCCTGAAAATACCATTCATCTGAAAGCATCTCTAATGGCAGGAAAGCCCCGATCCTGCAAAGGTTTATGCATTTGCTTAACTTTATGCCCTGTCAATAGTGACTTCAGTAGAATAGTGACTTTCGTCTGGGGCCTTAAACAACTTGTGTAAATCAGGGGGTTATACGGGAATTAATTCAGGGAAGCCTATGGTCTGTGTTGTTCAGGAAGTTGGACTAGATGATCACAGTGGTCCCTTCTAGTCTTAAACTCTGTGAATCTATGAAAGTTGCTAATGGGGCTTCACAACAGCTCAGCTCTAATTTGTCCTCACCAGGGTGATGGGCGGAGGGGGGACATATAATTACTTAGCTAGCTTTGGACTTGTCTGCACAAACAATTAGGTCACGACAAGGTGAGGTGTGACTCTACCCCGCACTAGCCTGCCTCGGACTAACTATCCACGTGGATCTTGCTGATGCACATTAACAGTTCTTAGTGCACTTTGGTCTGGTCCTCTTTGAAACAGGACTAGATCCAAGTGCCCCGATGAACGGTTAATGCATATCAGCAGGGCCTACCTCACAAGCTAGTGCAGGGTTGATTCATACCCCAACTTGCCACAAACTAAATGTTCATGTAGACGAGCCCTTAGTCAAATGTCCGGGATTTGTAGTGGGGTATCAGAGCTGTGGGTGAAAGCCTCTCTGAAAATTACCCATAGGAGGAATCTAACCACAAGCAAATCCTCCACAAAATATAAGCTGGCTAACAGTTTTTGCAATTTTAGGGCCTGATCCTGAAGTCAGTGGAAAGACTCCTCAATGCATTATTTATTACTGTTGGTAGACAAAAGGGTAAACACAGGGAAAACAGATATCAATGAAATTTACCACATCTCAAAAAGACAATTCTTTTCTTCCTAGTATTATAGTGTTAAATATATCAAGAGGAAGGGTTCACACACGTGAAATTCCCTCCTGATTCCAAACATTCTGTGTGCTGAACTTTAAAAAACTAAACCAGATGTGCATGATGTCTCATCAGCAGGGCTCCATCCTTTCCCGCTCAATTGATGTCCAACGTTTTACTGAATATGGCTCAGTTCCACCTGCAGACTGCAGCTCCCATTGGGTGCTTTTTAAAGGTGCTAACGTTGGCTTTCTACAATCATTGCTCTCCTTTTGCACTCACCAGTGCTGCACAAACTGCACTAATACTAGCATGACTTGTGGCTGTTGCACGAATGCCAGTCATTATTCCTGCCCAAACATTTGTGACGCCAAATACCCCCGAAGGTCACACATAAATCGAATATATATTTACCATAGGACTAGAGTGCAAAAGCCTTCCTTGTGTTGGGCAGCACCCTACTCCACATATCGTCCTTTTAACTCCAGTGGGACTGCGTGGAGAGTAAGGTAGGGTGATCAGACAGCAAGTGTGAAAAATCGGGACAATGGCTGGGGGGTAATAGGAGCCTATATAAGAAAAAGACCCCAAAATCGGGACTGTCCCTATAAAATCAGGACATCTGGTCACCCCCGAGTAAGGGGTGCGTAAACCTAGCAGGAGCTGGCTCACCCTAATTCTTAAATAAAAAGCTTGGGTAAACAAGCATGATGGGCTTGATCCTGCCTTCCTCACATATCCTAAAACCCTCCTGACGTCACTGGGACTCCTGGCTGTGCTAGGAAAGCAAGATCCGGCAGGGCAGCTGTTTGTACTTGTGCCTAACCTAGAAAGATGAATTTTAAATGATTGGGTTTTTTGAGTTCCTGGTACAGACTCACCTGCAGTTACCTCACCCTTGCATTTGAGGAAAGAGGGCAGGGCCCAATTTAGGACTCTGAGCCATACTGGACACATGGAGTTACACTTTGGGCTTCCCAAGTGCTGCAACTGATCAGGCCCTTGCATCTCCATTGGCAGTCGAGCTGAGTTATTCAGTAGATGCATATGACAATGCATGTTAGTGAGCCGCACTTCAGGCAACGCATGTAACAAGAACAGATCAAACCCCAAAGCAAAACCATATCTCCAAGTTGTCAAGATTCCTATCGTTTTTCAGAGGTGGTCTTCCTTCATTTACTAAAATAGTATTGTTATAACCATTCCTGCTCTGTATATAGTATGTATAGAAGACATCATTACTAAAAGCACTGTAGGTGAATTGTTCTGTCAAATTTATATCTTATGGACATTTTTAGCTGTTTTCTACATCATAAAAATGGAGGTAACGTGCTGAACCTGTATATAAGCCTTTTGTACATTAAAAAGTAATTTTTTTTTCATAACTTATTTTGTTTCATGGTTACTGTATTGTGGTAGTACTCAGAGGCCCATGCAGGTTCTGGGCCTGCTTGTGCTAGGTGTTGTACAAAGATACCAAAAAGATGGTTCCTAACTTGAGGAGCTTACAATCCAAGTACAGGCTAAGAGACTACAGACGGATACAACAAATTGATGGAGTGTGCCAGGTAACAGAGACACATGTGGGCAGTGTGATAGTAGCAGTCACAGCACACCAGCTGCCTAAGCATTATTGAGAGCCAAGGTGGGTGAGAAAATATCTTTTATTGAACCACCTTCTGTTGGTGAGAGAGACAAGAAGAGCTCTGGGTAAGCTCGAAAGCTTGTCTCTCTCACCAACAGAAGTTGCTCTAATAAAATATATTACCTCCTCCAACTTGTCTCTCTATTAGCCTGGGACCGACACGTTACAACAACACTGCAGATAACAATTGCTGAGTTTTTTGTAGGCATCATGGCAAAGGTGAGTTTTAAGGAGAACAAGGTCGTGGCTTTTGGGGATTTTACAGGAAGCTCCTTCCACACATAAGGGGGCAACATGGCAGAAAGCACCAAGGTACTTCCTGGAAATTTGACGAATGGGCAGTTAAGGCTGGCATTGTTGGCAGAGCAGAGATGGGGGTTGATGGCTCAGTAGTTGTTTTGTGTTTGGTGCAGTGAAGGGGAAGCCAGTCTGTTTGTAGTAGCTGGTGACATGCCAAGCAGTAGATCTACTGGTCGGGATCAAAATTAAGCCTGGTGTGCCTCCCATTGAAGTGAACGGAGAGATTCCCACTGACTTCAATGAGAGTTGGATCAACGACTTGAGAAATTGCCTTTTGCCTTGGCTCTGTCATTGGCCAACAAAATATTTGAATTGTGAATATGAGCTAATGTTTTGAAGGGGTTCCGGTGCAATGTATCACTCTTTATGAGAATTGTTTATAAACTGTCAGCTTAAGTTGCAATGAAGACTTTAAAATATATAACACCGGCAATAAGCCAGACCAATCAGATCTGCCATACATTTTGGCACAACTGAAACTTAAAGGAGACCCAAACAGAATCCTGCTCCTTCTCTCTTTGGAATCAATGGCAAAACTCCCATTCATCTCAACAGCAGCAGGGTCTGACCCTAAGCAAGCATGATTACTGCAATATCCTTTCGATCCAAAGCGGAGGTGGAGGAAGAAACTACAAAGCAGTAAAGCCTCCCTCTCTGTGCAGTCCCTGTGCCAAGTCATTGTGTTATTCTCAGTACTAAGAGATGAAAATGGCCATGGACTAGGGTCTGCTCCAAAGCCTAGAGAAGTCTTTACATTTACCCCTGGCCCTTAGTAAAAATGATGGGGTGAAATGCAAACAAAAACCGACAATGTCAAGCCTTTTGATGTTTTGTTGTAAACATTTTGCGGGATTTGAACCAATCACCTTAAAGCAAAAAGGTTGACTAGCCCATTATTATCCTGCTAGCCTCAAAATCCATCGGGTAGATATCACAATATTCTGTATGACTCAAGAATTACAAAAATCCCTAAGGAATGGCTTTTGTTATTATTGGAGATAAATTGTTCAGACTTATTTTTCCTCCTCAGAATTAGGGCATCATCCATTGTCCACTGAACTCAGAGTTTTTTCTATTGACTTCAGTGGCTTTTGAGTCAGGGTCTAAGTTCTTACTTATTTACATCTAGAAATGGAGTCAAGATTCTAATATGTGATCCTAATCCAGATGTAAAGTTGCCTCTAATTCAGGGGCGTTCAGATGCAGAGTTTGATAGGAACCCATCTCTGTTTATATTATAAACTCTACATTTCTCTCCACTGGGGCTAGCACTTCCCAGGGCTCCCTCTGATGAATTGTAACCACTTGCACTTTTTTTATTGCTTGCACATCCTGGAATGTATAGCACAGAGGGTGTTTGTGTTTCTCAAAAGGCTTCTTGTGCAGAACTGTAAACACAGAAATGGTGATAATCCTTTTGCAACAACGAAAGTCCATTAATTAACCATGGCCTTGGGCACAGCTGGAATCAGGAGCTTTAGAGTCAATATTAAAATAAATGTGAACGCTTCATTTCATAATTAAATATTCCTCTTTTTAATCAGTTTCCTTCCGAACAAAAATAAAGTATCTCTTTGGGCCGAATTCTAGCACCCTTAACTGAATGATACCTTACTTCATATTGAAATCAATGGAACCGTATGAGGCGTAAGGCCTTCACGATCCTTTAAAATGGAGCTAATATGTAATGTTTTCCTTGGGGGGGGGGAGGAAAGAGACCATAAAAGCTACTGTTGCTGGATTTTGTTGCACTCCTACTGAGTACAGAGTCATTCCAATGGCCTCTTTATTGCAATGGTCTCAGTAGAGATGACATAGAAGCACTTGTTCTTTATGAGCAGTTGGATCTACTTGGAAGAGCATATGTGTTGTAAATAAATGGTGTGTTTTATATTACTGGAAGGACAATTTATGACCAAGCAAGGCCTCTTGCAGACAGCTATTTAACTTGTAAGTAAAATGACCTAACACTTAAGAAATTTAGAAGCTACAAAACATCCCTACATTACAGCCAATGCATTTATTTCCCCTCCCTCCCCCATGCTTTATGTTTCATGTAAAACTGTAAATGGATACTTTAAATACGTTCACTATAAAAAAAATAAACCCCCAAAATAAAGCTTTCACACATGCTGAAGGTTTTGTGGCTACGGTAGCTTCCTGCAGTTGCACCAGTATCTGTGACCTACGGGCTAGATTTTCACCTGCGTATGCAGAGGCTTGGCTGACGGACTGACTCCTATTAATGATTAAGGGAATCGCTGGGCTACATTACCGCATGATGCGCTAGAAATTTACCCTATTTATTGCTGGTTTATGGAAACACTTTGCTTATTACCCCAAGGGCTGATCAGTGGTTTGTTTCTTTCAGAGGACGCGATCTTGCACTCTGCAGGCTCAGTCTGGTCTTTACATTGTTGAACACCTTCCTGCACTACTACTAGTGTTGTTATTTGTATTGTCATGATCGTGGATGAGAACCCCATTGTGCTAGGTGCTGTACAACGCAGAACAAAAAGACAGACCCTGCCCCAAAGAATTTACAATCTACGTAGCAGAATATATATCTTATATGCCTGCTGTAGCCTTCATCAAGAAGGAGCCCAAAGCACTTTACAGGTATAGAAATCCTCTCGCCTATAATTGGAAACCAGAGTGTGGCCGCAACCATTTTTGGCAGCAACCATTCCCCCGCCTCCCTCCTATTCTGGGAGAATGAAGAATAACGTGCCGCAGTGAGACCACAGAGGGGACTGTAGGGAGGCAGAATTGAATTATTCAAGTCAGAATTCGGCCAGAGCATCAAGCTTAATGCTGCCCTTTGGTGACATCGGCAAATCAATGCAAACATTCCTGGTAACGGCTTTGCTTCATGTGATTTGGTGCCTCCCCCAAAGAAAATAAAGAAATGAATCACTGCTTGTGAAATTTCCGGGGTTTTGAGAAATCATCTCCCATGAAGCGGGCAAAACTATGAAAAGTAACTTGTGAATTTTGAGAAACCTATGAGAGCAGGATAAACCAAAAGCCACCAGGGTCCACTTTGAAAACACGGTTTAGAAGGTAGCTTTGGAGCTGGTCTAAAGTCTACAAATTCTGATTTTAAAATGTTTTTGTGAATAAAAGTGCCAGTTTTGATTGGTTATGTTTCATGGGGTCACATGATTGGTTCCTCAGATGACTATCCCCTATTCAGGCAAATATCCATAAATCCCAAAAGTTGTGAGCGTTTTAATACAAAAGTCATACTGCCTCTTTGGAAGGTTTCTGTCATCAAATCAGGGAGCAGAAGCAATAACATGTGACTTTGATGGCCAATCAGAGAGAAAAATAACAAATAATCAAAGTGAACAGTTCTTGAATTGTTTGGCAAGACTAGTGGATGAATGAGTAAGAACAATAAATACAACAATGGATTGGCTCACAAATGATTTGGGGCAGGGACGGTGTCCCTAGCCTCTGTTTGCCAGAAGCTGGGTATGGGTGACAGGGGATGGATCACTGGAGGAGTCATTCTGTTCTGTTCATTCCCTCTGGGGCACCTGGCATTGGCCACTGTTGGAAGACAGGACACTGGGCTAGATGGACCTTTGGTCTGACCCAGTATGGCCATTCTTGTGTTCTTATGGTCTTATGATTTGCTAACAGAAACCAGACTAACTTCATAGCTAATATTACTCTCTGTAGCAATAATCTGACGCTCCTCAGTAGCATTTCTACTCAGCTGCGTGATGCTCAGATAAGTTATCTGATCTGCCCAGTTATGCAGCTAATTGGAATCAGGAACCACGTGTCTTGATAGATCCGTCATATGCCTAAAACACTCAATCAAAATGCCTCCAATGCGAATCATTTAATCTTTGTGTCACACCTCCATAATGATTTCTAACAAAAGAGAACTCCATGCCGATAAAGAATTTAACATCACCACAGACATATTCAGGGAGAGCGGTAATTATCATAATGACTGGCAAGGGCCTTGGTGTTCCATTTGATCCAAAAGACTGCCCCTCCAAAAGTCCAGCACCTCACCCTGTTTCAGTCCTAAGGGTATGTTACTACAAAGGGTCAGCAATGATGCTGCAGTAGTGCTGTGGTTAGCTAGGTTGCCGGAAAAATTCTTTTGGCTACCCCAGCTGTAGATACAGTGTGGGTTAGGTCAACCTAATAACATTGCATAATGTGCACAATTTTTCATAGCCCTGAGTAATGTAGCTAAATCCATCTAATTCTTAGGGATAACCCAGGCTTAGTTTATTTGGGAGTGGGCCACCTAATAATGATGAAAACCACGTGCCAGAGATCCATGGATTTCCTTGAGGCCGGGGGTCACCCACCCAAACGTTGAGCAGGCCTCACCCTGCTTCACAGCTGGTCAAGAAACAATTTTTTTGTCTGCACTGGGGGGGGCGGGGGTTCAATGAAATCCTGAAAATTTTTGATG